CTCCTGGGCAGGTGCTGCGGGGGCCGCCTGGCTGCACCTCGCACTCCACAACCTCCCTGCCCAGACGGTGACCACGACCCTGTCAGCCAGGAGGGGCCTCACCAGCTACACCTTCCAGCATCTCCACCCCGGCACCCAGTACTGGCTGGGGCTGAGCGTCATGGCCGGGCCCTACACCGTGGCAGGGCCCAATGCCACTGCTTGGACATGTGAGTATGACGGCCAGGGGTGGGGGAGGGCCTCGGTGGCCCTGGCTTTCTCTCTACCTCTGGTCCAGCATCTGAATTCAAAGGTCTCCTGCCAGAGCCCCAGGTGCAGAGGGCAATTATTCTGCGTGGACCTGGCTGAAGTTGCACCATTCAACCCAACTTCCTCCACCTTCTGGGCTCAGGCTGACAAAGGCCCTGAGAGAGGGTGACATCCACCACAGTCCTGGTTTGCTGCTGACACCATGTCTGTAGCACTGCAAACAGTTCTGGCCCCCGACTTGCTCTCCCAGGAAAACCGGGGGGAAATGGAGTGGGCAAGCCTAGCCTCCTGGACAGAGCAAGAGCATGCCGAACGCCAAGACAGCTTTGGCCCTCTCTGGTGAGGAGCACAAATTATGGAAGTGCCAAGCTGCAAACTCAGGGTTGTTGTGACTTGGAATTGTCCTGGCCCTGGACAGAGACACTGGTCAGGCATACGCTGGAAGGACCTGGGTGCCACCAGGTGACAAGTCTCCAGCTCTTTCCTTCGCCTGCCAGTCCAGGAAGCTGGGGCCTGCTGACACTGCAGCTGGGATTTTGGAAGACCTCCACACCCCCAGCTGGTTTGTTTCTGCTGTGAAGTGAGTCTGACAGGATCCCTGCTGTTGCTGTCTGCAGCTCTGACCTACCCAGCTCAACAAAAGTCCCCAATGCCAGACACACAAGGCAGGGATGTCCAGCCAAGAGTTTGGTCCAGGCTGGTTCCTGGGAATATCAGCAAGCTCATGACAGGACACAAATGGAGAGGAGGGGAACTTTTAGGAATTTCACAGCAGGGGTGCCAGCTTTATCTGGGCTCTGCTAGACCAGGAATGGTTGTGCTAGGGCATGGAGACAGCACGCTCCAAAAGGACATATAAGGCTGGATGTACCCCTGCAGATAAGGAAGCAGGGAATGAGGCTCAAGGGGTGAATGGGGTCCAGAACACCCCATAATCCTGATGCACACAATACCGTTCCCTTCCCTTCCAGACCCCCTGAGCCCTGGCAATGTGACCCTGAGCAGTGCAGAGGAGCAGAGCTCCTTGCAGGCTCGCTGGAGCACCCCAGCGGGAGAAAGGGACTTCTACCTGGTGACACTGCAGGAGGCAGAGGACGGTGCTCCAACGAGGAACATCTCTGTCGGTGGAGACAACGGTCATGTCACCTTCCATGGCCTGAGCCCCGGGAAACAATACTCTGTCCAGGTGACGGCGGTGGCTGGGCCTTACCGGGCATCAGCTAGCAGCACAACAGCCTGGACACGTAAGCAGAAAGTCTGAGTGTGTCCTTTTTCAAGGGCATTTCTGCTGCCTGATGGAGGGGCTGATAACCAGAGGGAAGCTGGTGGGATGGGGAGGGGGATTGCGGCAGGGGCAGAGACAAGGCTGTGCAGTGCAGTGGCAGCTGGTCTCAAGACCAGGCTGTGGGTCAGAGCAGCAAAATCTGCTGCCCTACAGCTCCTCGTGAGGGTGGACTCAGAGATCTTTGGCAGACTTGTGCCAGGTAGTGTCAGGTATGAATCAGGACCAGATCCTACTCAGTAACCTTTGGACTCAGTGTTCGGCAGGCTTCAAGACAGCTTCCCCTCCCTCTGCTCACAGCAGCTGGTTTGGTTCGGTAGTGAAGCACCACTGGTCCCCCCAGAGCAACATCTCCCTGTGCCCAGTCCCTCCTGGGTGACTCATGGAGCCATGGTTGGTGCTGTCCCAGAGCTGCCACCCCAGCAGGGAAGGGATAGAGTCTTCAACAGTGTGGGGAGGCACTCACCCAGCCCCCAGCACCAAGAGCAGCAAAAGGCTCTCCCTGCAGCCCTGGCTGCCTGTGTTTGGTGGGGGGACCACTGCAGAGTGTCACGAGAGCAATCTAGCTGCCTGACGCACTGCCCCATGCAGTGACGTGCACGGTCCCATCCTTGTCCCTTGCAGAGCCGCTAGCACCATCTGGTGTGAGTCTGTCCAGCCAGGGGAGACCCTACAGCCTACTAGCCAGCTGGGAGGAGGCAATGGGAGAAGGCTACGTGCTGGCCCTCAGCCCCATGGAGCACCCCGTGAAGAACAGCTCACTGCTCAGAGGTGTCACTAACTTCACCTATGAGGGCCTCCACCCTGGGACCCTCTACACCTTTGAGGTCAGCACCGTGGCTGGCCCCTACACATCCGCACCCCGGCGCATCACCAACTGGACATGTGAGTGCCACAGCCCTGCCCACAGCCAGCCCTGGGATTCCCGCTGGATCTTGCCCTTCCCTGCAATGTTGTGCTTCAGGGCATGTGATAGCACAGATCTTCCACAGCTTCATGCAGTAAAAGAGCAAAAGGCTCAGGACGAAAGCGTAGGTGCTGCTGGTTGTGTCTGACCCTGATCCCAATTGCCTGGCATAAGGGTCAGCAGAGCCCAGTGGCCTCCTTCTCCCTCGGGCCACCCTCCTGTGGCACTGCTCAGGCTGCATCAGCCTTGAATCACCTCTCCACCCCCCTGGTCCAGACCATCCCACCCACCACCTCCTCCAGCACCAGAGCAGTCCTATTTACCATGCCAGTTTGAACTCTGTGCTGCCAAACTGGCAGGTGTGGGTGTCAGCAGGGGTGACAGTGGCCTGCTCAGACCCCATGTGGTGGTGGCTAGAGCACCTGGATGTGGGTTTTCCACGGGAAGGGGCTCTAGCCCCAGCACATTTGGGGTTGGACTTCTACCAGGTGACCCCAGGCTGGGTGCAGCTATGACTCTAGACTTTTCCTTTCCTAGATCCTTTGCCCCCGGAGCAGCTGACCCTCAGCAATCAGGGCCACAGCACTTCTCTGCAAGCCTCCTGGACAGCAGCTCCCACTGGCAGCACTGGCTACACAGTCACCCTCTGGGAAACCAAGTCCCAGGAGCAGGTCATGAACATGACTGTGGGGAACAACTGGACAAATGTCACCTTCGAGGACCTGGTCCCTGGGCGACAGTATATGCTGGAGATGGCTGCTATGGCTGGACCTTACAGATCCCCTGTGCGATCAGCCACAGACTGGACGTGTGAGTGTGATACCGCTACCTCAACCCTACTGCAAATTGCAACCATGGCCTGCTAACTAGAGCAGAAAGCTTACAGCATGGCAGCAAGACAGAGTGTGGACTACGTATGGGGAAGCAGGGCAACCAGGGGCAGGGATGCATAGAGAGACAAAGTGGAAGGACAACCAGAGCCACATTCAGTAGGGTTGCAAGTAAAAGGGACTTCAGTGCAGGACAAACCCGTTACTGAACAGAAAACATTTCCAAATGTTTCCAAATGCAGGAAAGGTAGGGACCCGCTCCCGTGTTTATTCCGGAGTGGAAGCTCAGGCTGTTCTGCACTTTCATGTGCCAGGGCTGATTTCTGACCTGAGCCCACCAGGGACAGGCAGTGGCGAGTGCCCAGAACCAGCGCGTACAGGCCCCCGCTCCACACTGCGGCACCTCCACCACGATTGCCTCTCACTGCCTGGATGTCTCTTCTCTCTCAGACCCCCTGGCTCCAGCTGGCGTGACCTTGACCAACACCCGACGCCCGCTGGGACTCTCTGCCTTCTGGGAGAAGGCTGATGGCGACGTTGACCAGTTCCATCTCCAGCTCTACAGCAAGAGCCATCCAGCACAGAGGAACATCTCCGTGGGGCCAAACACCCACAACTTCACATTCCTGGGGCTGTCCCCTGGCATTCAGTACTTCCTGAAGGTGACCGTCCTCGCTGGCCCGTACAGATCCTCGTCACATTTTGCCACCGAGTGGACATGTGAGTGAGAAATGTTCCCAGCCTCCTGCAGAGATGAGGCATCCTGGCACTGCCTGCAAGACTGGCAGTGACATGGACATGTCCGGGTGGAGGGAGGACTCTAGTGAGACCTGCATGCTCCCTGCCCCTTGGAATCGAAGCACGTGTCATGAGTTGGGTGCTGTATGTTGGCTTCTGGGCCCCAAAAGACCCTTTTCCCCAGCTCTGACTTTCCTCAGTCAAGCTGAACCTTCTGCCTAGACCACTCGTAATCTCAAGGCCAACCTAGGACTGGTGGGAGAATGATGTGAGAGAAGCAGCATAGACACTGGTATGGGCTTGCTGCTCCCTGTCCATGGAGCAGAGCAGCCCACTGGGGAGCTGAGTGCTCTCTTCTCAGTACAGCACTTGCCTACCTGCAGGGCCTCGGGGACATGCATGGGCAACTTGCATGTCTCCTCAGGACAACAGTAGAGCTGGCAAGTCATCTGCCACCACTTCTTCTTTAGCCCTGTGCAGAAGTGCAGGCTGTGTCCTGGCTTCTCTACCGTCATCTCATGGATCTCCATGCTGTGTTTCCCCCTAGATCCACTGTCTCTGGCTAACGTGAGTGTACAGCCTGGCCGGAGACCCCAGGAGCTACATGTGAGCTGGGTGGAGGCAGGCGGTGGCAGAGACCACTTGGTACAGCTCTCGGTGGCTGAATCCCTGTCCATCATCAGGAATGTGTCTGTCCCCCGTGGAGTCAGCCAGCTTGACCTGGAAGGGCTGGTGCCGGGGTCCCGATACCGTGTGGAGATAATTTCTCAAGCTGGGCCTCATCGCACCTCCTCTCAGACTGCCATTGGCTACACTGGTAGGAATGCAGCTCTTCTGCACCTATCCCCACCCCTGGCGCCCAGCTTGGCCCTGACCTGGCGAGGGACTGGGCTGATGCAGGTCCCAGGGCTGTTCTTCTCTGAGACCATGTCCCCCCAGCCCCACTGGTGCCTGTCTCCTACTCAAGATGCTGGCTCTCTTGTTGGGATCCTCACTCATCCTGAGGCCAGCAGCTCAATGGGGTGTGCTGTGAGCCTGCCCCAGCACTTTGGGACAAGGGAGTCTCAGGCTGTGGTGGTGGTGCACTGTTATCACCTGGGACACAGGGAGCAGCTTTGATCTGGGAGCAACCCGTTGTTCTCAGCAGTCTTTAGACAGCATGTTAGTTGCTCACAGTCCTGCAGCTCCCAGCTTCATTCACAAACTAGAGTCAGTCCTGAGCATCCCAGGTTTGTCCCCTGTAATGCTGTTTCTCTCCTGCA